TAGAAAAAGTAAAAAAAAAAAAAGAATCAAATTCCTTTAATATTTAATGCCTTATTTTTTTTCGAATGTTAATTTAGTTTCATAAATTTTCTATAAATAAATTTAATGACAAATTTTATATCTTAATTAAAAAAATAAATTTATTGAGACAAATTTCACATCTAAAGAAAAGTTCAAAATCATGTTCAAATCACTATTTTGAAAGGATATGATTAATTGAGTTAGAGAAATCGACATGTATACATCATGGATTTCATTAGAATTTGTAATAATAACTTAAAAGGGAGGGTTTTAGCCTTTAATTTAGTCTTTTGAACAATCTAAGGCGAAACAAATACGCTACGAACCGTCTAAGCTATAACCTGTTTGTAAGCAAAAGGTGATGCATAGACCATTCAGCTTTTCCTTCAAGTCAAGGAATAAGAAAAGAATAAATTGTTGGTATAAACTACTATAAAGTGTTTACATTATCAACTTATTGTATAATAGTATTATATTTTTGTAAACGATTTATATAATGTTGTGACATTTATATTTTGTGTTAAAAAGTTTTATTTATATGCTCAAGAATTCTTTGGGATATGAGATTTGTACTTTTTGATGTTTCTTTCTTCTGTCTTTTATTTTATTTTAATATTTATATTCATAACTAGTATAAATAAGTTATGTTAAACAAATTATGTTACTGATCATTTATTATTATCGAGATTCATGTTTATCTTGATTTGAGCGCTGGAGTACTTTTTGCAGGTAACTCCCCCCTCTGAAACATTTATCCAAAATTCTCGTTCAGCTCACAGATTACTAGAAGATTACGAGTGTGCCCTTAAATAGATAGAATGCTCAAGAATTTTTTGGGAGCTGGATCAAGTTTGTAAATTTTTAAAAAATTTGAAAATTATTTGATATTTGGTTTCATTAATTCGAATTAATGTATAAAATGATTTTATAATTATCCGTCAATTTGAATTAATGAAATGAAGTATCAAATCTAGGTAAAACATGAGATGTCATCGTCGGTGATAAGGACGAGGGAGGGGCGTGGGATGGTTTTGGGGAACGTGGCTAGGGCACGGAGGATGAGAGTGAGGGAGCTTGAGTGGACAAAGACGAGCTTTGATTCGCTGTGGCGGAGGAGCACCGAGAGTGTGTGGTGGTCGAGGCGGAGGTTGAGGTTGTTGAGGATGGCGCCGCACATGGGGACGGCGAAGTGGAGTTCGTACATGGGAGGAGTGTTGGGAGAGAGAACAGAGATGACATGGCCTCGTCCAAGACCGAGAACGGAAAGAGAGGAAGCTAGTTGGAGGCATCGTTGGTGGGTCTGCGACCAAGCGAAGGAAACGGTGTCGTAAAGGATGGAGTTGGAGTTACCGTAGACGACGGCTGCTCTCTCGAGGAAGGTGAGTGGTGTGAGGGGTGTTGAGTTTGCAGGGTTTGGGGTTAAGTGGTTCATAGTTTGTAAGCGAATGGCAATGCCAATAATGGAGAGGAAAATGAAAGTTTGTTATGTGGTTTATTACGATGGTTGAGGTGGTTCTTAAATAGATGTACACTAGTACACAGTGGTTGTAGCGATAAAGTGTTCAAGGTGGTGAAGTGCTCTTTGTGTACTTGAAATTCATGCAGTGTGTCCAGGAAGTGATCATGTGATGATACTTTTGGATGGGCAATAAATTCTGTGGCCAGACAAGGCATGGTACAGCTCCCGTTGTCTCTAACGTAATATACTGAGTAAAACAAAAGATATTTTGCATGTATTTATCATGATTTTTAATTATTTTATTTATCAAATTATATTATGTGAATTAAATTAACTGTTATTAATTCTTTATAAATTATTAAAAAATGAATTACGACGAGTAAAGATTGTCTAGGATCATGAAAATTCAATGGTTTTGTACTGTCTGATAATAATTTCTGATGCACTGTGTGAACTTTAATGAAGTTCGGCATGAGTAGTTGTGGATAATGTAAATGGGTAGTATATATTATGAACCAACCACATGCGGTACGAAAACCAGCGGCATGCATTTAGGAGCTGTTCATTTCTTGGTGTTTGTTACACAGTCTTAATTTGCTGTTTATTGGACTTCCCATTTTGGCCATGTATGTCTCTCTAGTGTTTTGCTATTTAGTACTGGATAAATAATAGTAGGAAGTTTTTCAAGATCGAGTGAATAATAGTATATCTAAATTAAAAAAGTAGGTGGAGGCTTTGAATTTTTTATGATGACCTGAAATATAATATAGAGATTATTCAAATAGTGCTTTTGTTTTTCTAATAAGATGGAGACATTCTTATGCTTTAGGAAATAAAGCCCATCCTATATAGGTAGCGATCGAGGATCATGTCTGCTTTCTAGATGTGCTTAAATATGGCCACACCAAGGCAACAAGTAATTCCAATCTACTTCAGAATGTGTTTTTTTAATTTATATTTTATGGTTATATTCTGGTCAATAGAATTAATGTAGAAAAACCTCATAATTAATCAATTGGCTAGCTAATAATATTGAACGGAAAATCACCAGTAAACTATGAGAGATATGTCCTACATGCAACACGTACATGTAAGTGTACTTCTCTGTGTAACGAATCATCTTGGTTATTACCGAAACATTCATGATTCAACAACAAACAGCAGAAACTACTCTATATATTTGGGATTAATATATTCACTTCATTTATATATATATATATATATATATATAGAGGAATGATTTTTTTATTCCAAAAATAAGTCTACTTAAGACTTACTCCATTCAATAACTCATGTTCTACATTAAATTTTAACAATCCAACAGTTTAATTTAAAGTTCTTAATGCATAGATCAAGTTTGTAAATTTTTAAAAAATTTGAAAATTATTTGATATTTGGTTTCATTAATTCGAATTAATGTATAAAATGATTTTATAATTATCCGTCAATTTGAATTAATGAAATGAAGTATCAAATCTAGGTAAAACATGAGTTATTGATCTATCCATTAAAAACTTTTAATTGAACGATTGGATATATTAAATATTTATATTCATATGGGTTTGCTAACCTACTCACCAAATTATTGGCGATTATTTTAGACGAAGGTGGCTAAATTTTTAGGATATTATTTTAAGGAAAGTAGGAGAATATATGAAAATATTGACGAATGGAATTAGAGATTAATTTATCAAACGTTTTATGATGTTCCGTTTCAAACTGTAAAACATTGAGCGTACGGCTACTCTTTGTGGTTCAACAATGGCATGTAAAGTTCTCATATAAAATAAGAAGAAAAATAGAATGGCTTACAAACTAAGGAATTTGTTTGCGCAATAATTAACCTATTTTTCAAATACGCCGTTGATTATTACTGCTTTCGATTTAAACTTCTTTTATGTGGATCATCTTGATAATTTCTTATTAATAAAAAAGCATAATATTGTTTTTATACTTTAAGGATAATAAACATTTTTTTTATTCAATAGTAGAAATATATTTTAAGAATATATAACAAAACGTTAAAACATAATACTGTGATGTACTGTACATACGAAATATATAGACAATGTAATAAAAATAATGGAAAATACATTTCGAGAACAAAAAAAACTTAGTAAGTTATCAACTTTTTTTAATATAAATGATTTCGCATATTTATTAATCTCGGATAATCTATTGGTTTATCATTTCATTAAACACATAATCTCAAATCTATCTAAAATTTATTAAAACTATTTTTTTAGTATTAAATAATAACAACAATAACATAAATCAATCACCTTATTAGAGTTAAATTTATTTTATGTGCTTGATTTAACTCATGATTTATTCTTTTAATTTTTCTATAGCATATATAATAACTATAAAAGAGTAATTGTTTTATTGGTACTTTCATTATATATTTTTTTTTAAAATAACATTATTCATTCATATTTTTATTTACCTTTCCTCGGACTCTTTCCTTATTTCGAAAACAGTGTTTCTTCTTTTAATAAAATAAAGAAATCTAAGAAAATTTGTAAGGAAAAAATAAAGTGTAACGAGGGTATTTAAATAAAGACGTGCGATAATCGGCTACTAATTTTTTAATATCTTAATCTTCTTTAATGATATATTTTTTTTATCATGATATTAATAGGAGTATTTATCAACTTCGTTGAAAATTAATCTCTTGAGATTTTGACTCCATTAAAATTATTTTTTTCAATTTCATTTTTGTATCAATTAAAATTTAAACTCAAAATCTTGAAATTTGAGAATCACATAAAACATCAGTTGAAACAAGAAATGTTGTCCCTTAATAATACATTAACAATATTTATTTTAAGATAAAAAAAATGTGTCAATACATTTTTTTTCCACTAATATAACCAATGTTGATTTGTATATTTAAGGAATACAATTAACTACTATATAATTGCCGGAAATGTATATCATTAATTACATTACATATACATACTATATACACGCGTCGCCGTGAAAAAAACAAAATCTTTACATCATCCGTAGACTATATAGTATATACGCAATTTTTTCATTCACCCACTTTTTCTATTATATTAAATACGTGAGTTTATTGTTTCGAAATTATTCTAGTCTAATAACTACAGCAAAGAAATAATATACCTACTCTTCCTTTCATCTCTTTTTCCTAGTTTTCATTACATTATTACGTATAACATTCCCTGCTACGTGTCTACCCCACTTTTGCGTACACGTTCAACTTTTTTCCATAGATTTTTATGTAGCCGAGTAATTGATGGTTAAAAAAAAGGGTCTAGAAAGTATATATAACATATATAGTTACGTCATGCACAAAGACCCCCAATGGAAAAGCAAGAAATTAAAGAAAGAACCTTCGGCGGCATTACATCTTATTTATGTAAAGACACAAACATTGAATACTTGCCTACGTGTGACATGTGAATGAGAACAAATACGATCAAATAGTTACACTTTTGGCCATTCAAGTCAACAATGGGAACCTTCAAGCCTTCAACCATTCCTTAGGTCATGACTTGCTCAAACCAAACGTGTTCATGTCAACCTTCTATATAATTAATAGCACACAAAAGGGAAGAAGAAAAAAAGAAACCAACAACCTCATAATAACATCTTTGTGAGATTGTCCCAAACCAAACATGTCAGACCCTCCAAAGGTTCACCCCGTCCATGATGTTGAGGCACCAAACGAAAACCAAAACCACCCTTCAGCACCATTGGTGCCAAGGACCATGTCCAAATCTGATGCAGGTGATCCAGAGAAAGTGGATCAACATCAACAACACCCTCCACAAGGAACCATTCCTGTGATGCATTCAAAGCCACCAAAGAAAAGAAGAAGCTGCTGCTGCAGATTTTTCTGTTGGACAATTAGCATATTGCTGATTCTTATTGTGGCCATTGGCATCACCGTAGGGATACTATTCCTTGTGTTCAGACCAAAGCTTCCAAAGTACTCAGTGGATGAACTTGGAGTCTCACAGTTTGATCCTTCTGACAACAACAGTTTGTCTGTGACATTCAACTTGACAATCACGGCCAGAAATCCTAACAAGAAGATTGGAATAGACTATAGAGGTGGCAGCCACATAAGTGCTTGGTATTTGGACACAAAACTTTGTGAAGGGTCTTTGCCAAAATTTTACCAAGGACACCGCAACACCACGGTGCTTAGTATCCCTCTCAGAGGGCACACACAGAATGCTACTGGTTTGCAAAGTATGGTTCAGGAGCAACTGCAAGAAACGGGTAATGTGCCACTCAATTTGAAGGTTAAGCAGCCTGTGAGGATCAAGCTTGGGAAGTTGAAGCTCTTCAAAATCAAGTTCAGGGTTAGGTGCAAGATTGTGGTGGACAACCTTAGTGCTAATAATTCTATTAGAATTAGGAGCAGTAGTTGTAAATTCAGGTTTCGGCTGTGATGAATTCATTGTTGGTTGGTTTGGTGCATATTCAGTTTGCATTGGAGATTAATGGAGGAGGATATGCCGATTGCTTTATTGCTATTTGTTTCATTTCTTTGTAGATGGGTTTTTCTTTCCATCGCCACTTTGAGATGCTGTTCTTGTACTTTTGATTCTGGTTTTTCAGCCATTTCTCATGCATATTATATATAGCATATAATGATATTCTATTCGTTAAATACCGAAGAATGAAGATTTTTAGACTTGCAATTCACTAGATCTGGACACACATGGCACAATATCTAACAAATTTTTGGATTTTTTTTTTGCATGCTTATGTAAAAAAAAAATTAATAAATTGTAATCTTGGTTTATTGGTCTGCTCATTTTTAAGACAAAGATGAATCTAAAACGAGTAATTGATTGAACATAGATTTTACAGTTTAAATAGTTTTCGCCTCTTTAGCGTGAAGGAAATTTTTAGACAAAGGTTTGTAATATTAACACAATTTTGTATTTTTTTCCGAAAATATCTAAAAGCAAGTTTGTGAATTTTACGATGAAAAATACTACCAACAATCTTTTTCTAATTTTCTACAGTTGGTTGAAATTTATTAAAAATAAAAAAAATTGATCTCAATAAAAAAAAAAAAAACTCATTAAATGAATTGTCATATTCACAAAAATTTATAATTATCAATAATAAAAAGTATTAGAAAAGTGTGTTTTCCCTGCCAACCGAGCTAAGTGTATGTCTATGTATAGCACGTTTAAATTGATTTCTCTAGTCAGATAATTAATTGTGACAACTGATTGTGATGTTAGGGAGCTTAAAGTAAATAACTAGATGAATCAAGAACATACAAGTAATCACCCCGTTACGTAATTTATAATTTAATCCAACCCAAAATCCTTAACACGTTATAAATATGAAGAGCTTATTTCATCTTATTAATAAAAGAATGCATTAACATTAGATTAATTATTTTTTTTATCAAGCTTATCGTTGATATAGTAATTAAGATCATGTGATTCCTATCTTAAAACATTACATTGTCTTAAATATATGATACCAATGTAAGAATTATACCCTTAAAAATAATTATAGTAGCCTAGTAGGAACCTCGTCTCGAAATATAAATTTGAATAGCATACTCGCATAGGATTTTTTTGGGGAAAAAAAAATACTAAGCTGTTATAAAATGTAATCCGTTTGTAGTTTTTCATTAGTTAGTCTAATGTATAAATGTATAATCAACTGAAAAAGTACGACAAAAAAAAAATCCTGATAATCAATAAAATGATATAAATTTAATTTTGACCGTCCATGAGTTAGTCCACTTAAAAGCAAACAAGAACAACACGGATAATTAAAATACAACTATTTTTATACTATCAACAAAATAATATAAACCCTAAACCCTATAACTTAATACAAGTATTTTTATACTATCAACAAATTAAAATAACTATATGTTACTTTTTAAATAATTTTATAAAATAAACAAATTTTAACTTGATAATTATCGATGAAATGACATTATAAAAAACCTTTACTATAATACTCATGGTTAGGCTACAAATTCCCGTTGAATTAGTAATCACTTTTAAACTCGAAGCAAAGTATGAATGAAGTAAAAAGGTGTCCTTTATGTGTTTTAACAATTTTTTTTTAATAGAATTATTGGTCTCACTTTTTTTTAGATTTTTTGACCAAAGTGGGGTCGTTGACCAACTTATTTACGTAAATGAGGCTCTTTTGAAAGTATTTACGCCTTTGGGACTGTTTACAACGGTGTCGCTATGGCTCATAGCGACACCCATGCCACGTGGAATTTTTAAACTCCAGGGGAGCCATGAAAGCCATATTGATAATGTCGCTATAGCTCATAGCGACACAAAACGGCTTCAATGAAGTCGCTATAGCCTACAGCGCCCCATTTTTAATATTAAAAAAATAAAAAAAATAAGTAAATAATTTTTTTAAAAAAAATACGAATTTGTAAAAGTGGCGCTATGACCTATAGCGACATTGTGTCGCTATAGGCCATAGTGCCACTTTTAATTATTTACTTAATATATTTTTTCTACTTTTTAATTTATTTTATGAATTTTATATAAATCTATATTTATATATTTATCTTTTCTGTATTTTATTTATTAAAAGGAAAAAATAATTAAAAGGAAAAAATATTTAAAAATAAAATAGAATAAAACAGAAATTTAAAAATAAAACTTGAAAAAAGTTAATAATATAAATAAAAATAAAAAAAATAAATAAATAATTTATTGAAATTAAATAAATTTTTTTAATAACAGAAATATAAAATTAATATTTTAAATAAATTAATAATATAAAATTTGAAAAGAAAAGAAAAGAAAAAAAATAAATCGCTATGATCTATAACGAATTTTCGGCGCTATAGGCCATAGCGACTCGTGATGAAATTCATTCTTCTGCCTGATGTAAGAGCTCATTATCTAATTAAACGCACCACTAGCTCATGCAGGTTTCATGTTTCCTTTTTTTTTGTTTTACAACGCAGGTTTTACGTTTCAAGCTTTCAGTTTCTAGTGAAAAAATAAAGTATTATTTAGACAAACAAAAATTAATAAAAATATTTAATTTGTTTTCTTTATATTGTGAAACGATAAATTAATATGTAATTGTTAATATAAAATATAGAAAATTTAAAATAAAATAAGTTAATAATTTAAAAAAAAAAGAAATTAAATAGTGGCGCTATGGCCTATAGCGACACAGTGGCGCTATGGCCTATAGCGCCACTCTTATAAATAATTAAAATACATATTTTAATATAATTTAAAGCAAAAAAATATATATAAAGATAACAAATTAGAGAAAAAATACGTTTATAAATACAAAATAATAAGTAACTGTTAATATAAAATATAGAAATTTTAAAAAGAAATACGTTAATAACTATGGGCCATAGCGCCACTCTTGTAAATAATTAAAATACCTTTTTTAAAATTACGTTTTTAAACAACTTATTTTTATTTTTATAAATATATAATAAATAACTCATTTTATTATTTTAGTTACATTTAAATTATTTTTGTTTTTTTCTTTTTTTTTCTTACATGGTGTCGCTATGGGCTACATCATTTCTGTTGGTCCATCCACTGTGGTGACCTAGCCCATAGCGACACTGATGTGGCTCAGTCCAGCCAATTCTGGGCCCAAAAAAAAAATGTCACGTGGCAATGGTGTCGCTATGGCCCATAGCGACACTGTTGTAAACTGCCCCAAAGGCGTAAATAGTTTCAAAACAGCCCCATTGGCGTAAATAACTTGGTCAACGACCCCACTTTGGTCAAAAAGCCCTTTTTTTACGTTCTTCTCATCTCCTGTATACACGCACCAAAAGAATAGGAAATGTACTGTAACATGCTGTCTGTGACATAGTAAGAGAATAAATATGATGTGCACTTTTTTAGGGTTACAATACACATTTAATTAGTAAAAATGATATATATATCAACGCATCACGTTATATGGCATTCACCATCCAAGAGAAAGACATGGTCATCTCAGTCAAACTGAAATGTGAGCTTTGTTTACTTCATATTCTAACAAGGGAAACTATATAGATCCTCCACTCTCAAATTGTCTCCATAGTAACCTCTCTTCATTCTCGATCAAAACAGACAATTGAACGACTTAACCTGCAACTGAGGCCACACATGAAATGTGCAGTATCTTCAAAGTCCGTATATTTGGAGAAAGCTCTCTGCAATAGCATACCATCATGTTCATTTTGGAAGAAAAAAATGCATAGTATAAAAATACTTAATCTAGTTGATAATAATAAATGACTTGTTTATATACCTATTTTACCAAGATTAAGAAAAATAGTTAATCTAATTCATAATAATAAATGTCTTATTTTTATTTTTTTTTCAAAACTACTCTTGCACTACTTTTTTCTTTTTTAATTAATATTCATCGCTCTTTTAACCAATTAAAATGCATGTCATATACTACTTTTCTCTCTAGTATTATTTACTCTCCTAACCAAAGAATACATACTTTTAAAGAGCCTATAATTAATGTATCCGAACAAATTAAGAGAACCTGTTTTAATTAGGATTATTTTAGTCTAAAAATAATTAATATATCAAACATTATAAATAGATTCTTATATGAAGGAAGACACAATTGTTCTAAGTAAGGTCTTATAAATGAGAACAGATGTAATATTATTTTGGAGATGTCAAAAGACCAAATAAAATATGAAGAAAAAAAAATTGACCTTTAATCCATGTGTTCAACCAATCTCTATTTTGCATATACGTATTCACATTCTATTTTTTGCATAAGGCGCAGAAGCAAAATGGATAAATGGTCTTGCCAAAAATAGCAACCAAACATTCTTTTATGTTCTAACTCGGTAATATAAAATAAAACAAAAAATAAAAGTCTCTCTTTTTCCTCTGCTAAATGACGAGTGATTATGCTTTCCAACATTTATTACATCAAATTTTTATCACATTACTGATCAAAACATTGTTTTGGTGACTTGAGAACACAAAAAGAATTTAAAGTTTCATCGTTATATTGAGAAATAAAAATACCGAGAAAGGTTTACCTTCATTAAGTAAGAATGCCGCGAAGAGAACCAACAGTGCCTCGCTTTTTTGTCTGCAGCAGGGCATGTAAAATTTTATGGTAGATACTCAATAAGTCAAAGATTAAATATTGATCTCTTTCCTGTCCTCTCATTTTTGAGATATGGGAAGTGTAATAGACTTAGACTCGCCTTATGATTATTAAATAGTTCATCTGCCACAGCTTCCATTTTCTTTCGCCTTTTCTCCTCCTTCACCAACTCAGCCGTCTCATCATTCCCACAGTCAGAATCCCTGGGTTAGAAAACAAATGAAATATAACATAACCTATCACAAGGAGAAAAGGAATGAAGTAGAGACTAGCTAGATTTTTGTTTGCAATTAACATCATATTTAATATTATTCTTACTTGTATGGATATTTTGCAAATGGAACAAGATTGTCAAAGCTGTTACCAGATTGAGTTTCTGCCTGCATTTCCATTTAAAAGAAAATTCAATGGTTAGGCACACGTTTCATGTATTGACATTAATAATTTACGCTAAAATTTTATTAATTGACATTACATGAAGCAATCAGGTTTGTTGGAATTTAGAAGTCAGACAACCAAACATTTTGGTTTCAAGTTTCTATGATAGGCTCCTTGTAAGCAAGAGATATGGTAGCAAAACCATATACCTTTCGGAAGCGTTTAAAATTTGGAACATTGCTGTTTGGTGCAGTACTTGTGCTAGTATGTAGGTTTGTATCTCGAACAACTAAATGTTGGCCGTAAACAATATCTGAATTTCCACTTTCATAATCGTCAGCCTTGTCTTTCTTTACTCTAATACCATCATTATTCCCGAAGCTGGTATCATGTGATCTGACAGAAGCACCATCCAAGGATGTTTCTGTTTTTGCACTTTTAATTTCATGCAATCTGGTCGAAACATCATCGCAGGATGCCTCTACTCTCTCATGTTTTCTCTTATCTAAAGTGTCAGAATCATCATATAATTCTTCTGTTTTTTCATATTTTACATTATTGTGGTTGCTAAATGCCTCATTTGAGTGGGCGGATGTGGCTGTTTCAACTTCAGTTTCCGAATCTGGTACAATCGTCTCATCTGTAGAGCAAGATGATGAAACAAGTACTGCAACAGCACAAAGAGCAGGTTACTAAAACTCATTGAAGTGCAGATTTTGTCACTAAGCATGGAGTTTAAATTTATGTTTTACAAGTGAAAAAATATTTTTGAGGAAACTTCAAAAATTACATGTTAGCCATTTCATTTACAAAAGCAATATCTTGCATAAACCATGCCAATCTTTAAAATAGCATTCCATAACAAAAGGAATATGTGCCACTAACAAGATAACATGCTGATTTATTTGAGATAATATGTTGATTTACATCCCTACAACTAGGGATTGAATTATAGAATCTCTATATTTCGTTAGTTGATTTATTCCATGTTCAGATTTGTGTAATGTTTTTTCTTTAATGTGTGTATGCATGTGTGCGTATTCAGTGTTGAGGTAATCAAACAATTCAGAAATCTAGACTGCTCTTAAGTTTAAAAGTGTCCATCTCATTCTGTGACAACCCACCATGATCACTACACTGGATGGAACCAAAAACTAGCAGTGGAAAGTATAACAACTGTATCAAGGATTATATACTCATAACCTGGATATGCATACTTTAACATGTATATAAATATAAGTGTAAACTAAAAATAACTACTAGTATATACAATATATGTACTGTCATCCAGTGAAAGCAAAGTATAAGTCCTAAGTTGTAGGTCAACGTCAAACAACATCTATACACTTAGTTATATCAAAGTAACTAGACAAAGAGTAGCAAAACGCCACCACCAATGCCTCACCAAGGCTGCCTCCACTCAATACCTAACCTTACCCTGTTCTCATGAAGAATCATGATCATCGAAATCCAACCGCCAGGATAACATACAAGGATAAACTAGATTTCCAAAAGAATACAAGTATAGAAATAAACATTTATACTAATCGTCTACATATAAACAAACAAAGCAACACCTCATAGTTCACATCATACAACAATCAACATACCTATGTGCATCACAACCATGCTGATCCATCATACAATCAACAAGCATATGAACAATCATCAAACACCACACCACATCATATACATACACCTCAACTAATGCGTCGTTTCATATTCATCTACAGAGATCTCTTAATAAATTTGACCAGTCTAAGTGGCTTGACCCTACCGAATTAACTCGATTGTTTTCACAACTCATACACCTACTAGATCAACAACAAAATTGGGATACCAATCCCTATCTTCTGGTTACTCAAGTGTTATCCCTATCTTTTGGTTACTCAAGTGTTGTCACTTAAATTAGAAAAGTCCAGTTCCATCATCAGGACTAGTATAGCTGGGTATGGGCGTACCACAACTTTGGCATGCATTACCAAGTCACTTGGGAGATTAGCCCGCTAACTATCCTCGAGGTACCAAGCAATCTTTCCAGTAATCAATTAAGGGTTGTAGTCTTCGACTTCATACCTTACTCCAACATTGACTAAGGACCTAGAGGAGACTCAACAAATCCATTTCAAGAGTTTCACACATACTCAAGGAAGGTTTTCAACAACTAGCCTCCCAACGCGTCACAACAAGATTTCTCTAGTCTCAATCAACATACATCATCTATATACATTAACCCAAGTTAATGAATATAGAGATCAAATCACACCAATCAAATATAACATACTAATGTTTAACAACTCATTCAAGTATAGCATACCAATACTCATCAACAATTCAACCATACCAACTCTATATATATTATCCTAGATCAATATACATAGAACTATCATTATCATTCAACAACATTTAACTATCAATAGTTTAACTATCAATATACATTATCCTAGATCAATGTATAAAAAACTAACAACATATATCAACATACAACTTTTCACAATCAACTATCATACAAGGACAACTCCCACATAAAACAACACATAGAGAGTTATACTACTCCTATCAAGCTCATCCTTATCTCATGAAAGTTAAGAAGATTGTCTACAACTCTTATGTTGAACTCTAGTTTTAATTAAAACATTTACTATGCTGAAAATCACAAAAAACTGTAACATTTTTTTATTAATGTTAATAGTTTGACCTTTGCTCACTAAAAAGGTTATAACTTGAGTTATAGACCTCTTTTTAAGGTGATTTCAAAGCCATTGGAAAACTAACATTCAAGACTACAACTTTGACGAAGATCACAAAGCCTAATTCATCCATCTACTATTCATTGAGAAAATGTGATCTCGCTAAGCTCCCTAGAACTCCTCGCTGAACAAATCGATTTCTAGTTGAGCGAGCCGAGCTCTCTAGAACCCCTTGTTGAGCGACCAATTTCTTACCACTGAGCGAAAATATGAAGATTGGGTTAATGTTCTTTATTTGTACATGAACATTGAGCGACCATATGCTTCTAGTTGAGCAAGAAAACGATGTTCCTCCATCGAAATCACCTTCTCTCTACCAAATCTAGCTACCCACATCAAATTCAATACATAAAATCCATGATTCTACTTCTTCATGCCTCGTATGACTCAAAACATCTCAAAAACCTCACATGAAACCACTACCAAACTCAAAATCATCAACCCATCTTTAACCTTCGAAAATCCACAACATAAAATTCATGCATTCTCAACATAGATGCCACCAATGGTCCAAACAACATAGAGATCCACACGTGCAACTCAAAATGAAACTTTCCTTACCTTCAAATTGAAGAGAACAAGGAAGAAGAAAGCAAATGAATGCTTTGAGCTAATCTGCACCACCACCAACTACTCTAATTCTTGGCTCTCCAAGCTTGAATCACCGGACAACCACCAAAATCAGTCTTAGGGAAGGAAAAGAAGAGATCCAGGGAGTCAAGAGAAAACAGTCCACCTCGGGTTCCAGAGATCTTCTCTCTAGACTCTCCAACTTTCTTAAGAAAATAGGCTTGCGAGGTCCATTGACCTTCTATATTTTCTCCTACAGATCAAACTTGATCTTTGCTCAGAGACACTCCTAAATGACTAAAACTCCATAGAAAATTTTAAATTCCCAAGATTCTCAACAAATAAACAACAATACACCACAACATATAAAATATAAATCAACAATTATTAGTTAAAATGTATAGTGTTACACATTCCTACAAATGTTTTAATTTTTGTTAGTTGTTTTCAGTGAAAGGAGATCTTGGCTAAAGACTAAAGAGAAAACCTAGCAGAGAAACTACATCTAACAAGATGAAAATTTAAACTTCTAAATCAAGGCTGATAGTTCAAAGAACTTATTATTCATACCAGAAAACCAAAAATACTTGGAAAATCTAATACAAAGAAAAATACTTTGAAAACCTTCAATTGGATAAAAGCTTCCCCCTTTATATCAATTACATCCTCATTTTCCAGAATTACTCCCAAACACCATTTTGTGCTCAACAGCAGCAAAGGTATAAAGAAGTGAAGAAAAACGGTTGTAATTTCAAAATATTTATTGATTTAGGTTCTTAATTTATTGGGAATAAAACAAAAGGTTTGGACAGAGCAATTATATTAATTGAGATATGAAGAATACTTACTGCATGGTGATTTCAGAATAGACAGATCTAACTGTCCACTGAAAGCGGCACATATTACATCCATCTCATCCACTCTAAGCAAGGAACTTTGTTTATTGAAGAGATCAGACTTGTATGATGATCCTCCTCCAGGGATGACACAAACCACACGATTATCCTCTGCATAATCTGAACCCTGCAAGAAATAAATGAGAATTACCATACAAGCTATTGTCAAATTTTTTACTTTAAATGCATGTTTGTAGTACATACAAAATCCTGCATAGAAATATTTAAGATGTATTGCAAACATGTAAAATTGATAACAAACTTGTGACACTTTCAGAGTCCAATGCTTACCGTGTTATCAACAGAATTTATAAAACAAAAAGAAAGAAATGAAATACATACTTGGCTATTTGAACAAAAAACTTCAAAGGAAACAACTTTTGCACCAGCCACTTCTAATAAAGATTTTAGCTGATTCCCAAATCTATACTGCAAGCAGGAAAAAGAATCGAGTTAAGAATATTGTGAAGATGAGCAATGCACCAAAAATATCAAGATGTTTCCATCTTGTAGTTTCAAAACCCCTGCATGTCTGTTCCTACATATTTACATGTGAACATTCAAAAAGAAAAAATCCGAGAATAAAGTATGAAAAATGTGCCAGCCTATTATTTAAAAATGGAAATCTGAATCACACCAAAACCACTTAGTACTATAATCCTTAAGTTTTTCAGAGTGAGTATAGAAGACTTTGTAAAACAAATACCAAATGCTCAGATTCCAACAAAAAAGTGTATCCTTTCAAGCAGTCTTCACGCATTCTGGGGTCAGCAATTTTAATAGATTCTCCTCCAGCTGACACTGAGGGAATATATCTGCTTGAGAGGAAGAGATAGAGAAGAAAAAGAAGACAAAGAAAACTTAGTTAGCCTAACTGGTGTCAGGGTCATGGAATATACAGCTAGCACAACCAAACTCCTAAGTCAAAGCAATACTTACGAATGACAGCTAGGAATTTCAGTGCTAATGTTCTTTTCTGCAAAAATCTATACAGGGAAAGGAACAAACAGTCACAAGCCAAACATCAAACAGCAGAGAAAAAGTTGACTAAATTCTTCAATTAAACCTCACATTTATAGACTTAGATAATATCTTATTGATTGATTACTAGTAATGATAAATGAATCTTATCATTTCTACCTCTAACCAACAATTAGTACTATTATCATTGGTCAGGACTCAGGACTCAGGACTCAGAATACAATTACGGCATACTATTCAGGGTCTATGCTACTAGCAAACACAAAATAACTAGTGAACATGTAAAATATCAGACTCATATTGCAATGCTCTAACCTTTAAAGTAGATAAGATCATGAGACTCTTATGTCAAGAACATGGTCCACAAGCTACAAGAAAAATTATGACTATGGTTGTAACTTAATTCTGAATTGCTTCTTAGCAAATTATTTCTAAATTTGGGAAGTTAGCAGGGATCTAAATATATTATTGCTGTGTGTAAACTTTAAGAGAATCTTCCCGCATTATATTTATATCCATTACATCTACTCTCCTTTTACATAACATATTCTATTGTATAAAAATGCTATGCAAATCTTAAAAGATTTTATTTCAGATGTTAAAAAAATAATATAAACAATCAAGTATGTAAGCAACTAACTTTCATGCCATCAAACTATGAATACGACTATACGAGTGATCACTTAACTGTAAAAAACTAATAGTATAATGAAAAGTTAAGCACCAATACATAAAACTAAATGCTTCTATACCTCAAGCCAAGTTTTGAGTACACAAGATTTTTTTGCCACAACAGCACCGACAAGATCCTTCTTCAATGGCATTAGTTGATCTACCAGAACATGTGTGCACTCTTCACCTAAGGTATGAATAATACTAGCACCTATATGAAAGTATAAGTTGGTTAATATTCAGCATTCACATAAAGAAAGAGTCAAATGCTTAAAGAGAAAAGCACAGTAAATTTATAACTAATGTTACAATGTGGCCCAAGATCTTTTCTGAATATATGGAATCTAATACACACAATGTAGCCAGATGAAGATTTTTCTGAACATCTTATAATTTTCATTTACATAATTAATACTAAGTCATTATCAAAGATATGTAAACTCTACTTCCTGACCAACATATCTATCAGTTCTCACAATGATTACAAATGTTTGTTTAAACGACTGAAATTTAAGCATTACAAAATATCAAAACTGCAAAAATAGCATGGGATAAAGGCACGAGCATAGTGTCCTTTCAAAACTAATTATCTTTGATCACATCATAAATACCACTTCTGGTCAAAATTCCATCAGTTAAGTATTTTCTTCTTTACTAATTTTAAGTAAATGCAATATCGTGTGCAAGTTAGAGTTAATGACATATATTAAAGCAATTACACAGCATGTTCTCATGAATTATAAGAACTGAAGAACCTTCACAAGTTTTTTCCCCACTGACCAATTGATGAAATTTTCTCTTCAAGAGATTGATCCACTTTATTTGAGGAACAGATGAAAAAAATGAGGGGGACATGGCAAAACCTGTCAGATTAAATTTGAGAGCATTTAAGAAGACATAAGTAGAAGACAGACAAATGTAATGAGATTGATGGACCTATACAAACCCAAATCTAGATAAGTACTGCAATGGTATTTTCTAAATATTAAAAGTGAATGACACAAAAAGAAGGAATAGAAGCACATTGAAGAGATAGTTAACATACTTGTAGGTAGCAGTACCGGTGCCAAAAGAAACAAGGTCACCATCCTCTAATACTGTTTCTTTGTTTGGTAGCTCATGAACTTTTTTCTTGGACCCAACATTCTTGCTAATAAATGTCCCGTACTTGGAGCAATCTCTAATATGTATACTGGATGACAAATGAGAACGTTCATTTGGTAAACGATTTGCTGGGTTCATCGTATTAACAACTATTTCTGCGTGAACCCGAGAAACCCCTTTATCTTTAGTAATTATCACATCACAACCTGTAAGAAGTTAGTAGCAAGTTCATACAAAGCATCATCGTGATATCCAAAAAACCAATAATAAGTAATGATTATTATAGGAAAAAACTTCAAAAATGTGAACCAAAAAAAAAGCAGCAACTTGTGACAACAATCCATTCTGAAAAGTCCAGCATTTCACTTTGCTCCATAGGGACAAACCATATCCGTGTTTGCACACTTAGAAACTTGAATAAGGAAAACATTAGATTATGAGGCAAAATTGTCACTAAACATGAATGTATCAGATAGCTATGCCTATGCTCCTTAATGTCACCTAGAGAATACTAGAAAAACAGTTTTAACTTTAAAATTAATTTTATTGGTTATTTCAGTTAATTGTCTTCAATCTATTATAATTTTGTTATTGTTCCTGGATCAGGACAATTGCAGGCATGAATCACATCTCCACATAGCATCTAATCTCAAGTTAATTGGTCATTGACTCAACATAAAAGTCCATCCGATCATGTTGTCTTTGACTTTTACCGCCCTCATATTCTAAACAAATTATAAATTTAGCACAAGGTCTGTGTGTTTGGATTAACTCATGTTGAAAAATAATCACTCTTTTGGTAGCATCACGTGTGAGATTTTAGGGTTTAAATAGAAAAGCAATTGTTTCCTCAGAAATGATCCCAAACAAACAAACATACAGACATCCACCAATCAACTAAAATAATCAACCCTAAAGGGTTTTGCATGAGAGTGCGTATTAGAGGTCCTAGTGGGAAAAGCTTGTTGTTGTTCGTATTAGAAGTAAAATTCAATAATGGGCTTCAACTTAACAGCTTAAGCCCTTCAGCCAAATCAGTCTTTGATAAAAGCACTCATGAGTCATAACCAACTTCAACATTTTCACTCTATCAAAGGCAAGACAGTGAAAATTAATCAAACACTTCAGCCGCAATGCCTAGATAATTGTTTGATCATCAAACGAATTACACAAACTTGTGCATAAGCCTAAGGTTTTGAAAAGTAATTAGAAGGAATCATAAATTACAGTACCTTTTCGACCAACTTTGTAAACTCCCTTTTTGAAAATGTAGTACTTTTCTTCACCTGTCATACAAATTTTCAGAATTAACAAATAAAAATTTTAGTAACCCTATAGTGTGCTAAAAGAATAGAAAGGTAATAAGAGTTTCATTGAAGAATATGGGTACCTGAAAGAGGATCAACGGGGAAGAGTCCCCACACCATGATGATTCTTCTTCACTTTGAGTTTAAACTCAGCGCTAAACCAAACGGAGAAAGAAGAAAATAAGGTCGCTATGCCACGACATGCCGTTTGTTTGCAGTTCAAAACGGCATAAGGTCTACCAATTTTACAGACAAAACGACATGCTTCTGTATAAAGTCTTTTTTTTTTTTTTTTTTAAGATATGAAAGATTAAAAGATGTCGCAATGAAAATTAAACCTAAACCTAAGTCCTCATGCTTCTAACTACCCCTAATCTCTCTCCACCCAACCACTAAACTAACCCTAGTGGTCATATAAAGTCTTCTCTTATATTACATTTTCTTTTTTATTGCATTTTATTTTTTATTTTTTACAAGTGAAATGCAGTAGACAAATATCCTATTAAACAGAATTGTTACTTTGTTAGGGAAAAAATATCTACATTATAAAAAGAATATTTTTTAAATTTATTCCGTCTTTCAAATAAACTTTTTTTACTACCGAAAATGTAGATTAATTGGTACAAATTTTTCCGACTTAAACTGACATTTCGAATTCAAGTATTAAGAATGTAATTCTGACAAATATTTGAAAGAAGACTTTTGTCACTCAAAATGATCTTATCAGTTTAAATAATATTGTTTCCAATAAAAAAAATACTTGTGATCTTTACTAAAACAAAATATATATATAAAAATTTTCTTTTAAAATCAACTGTTTAATGCAAGAATAGAAACAAAGTCAAGACAAACCGGATGTAAAAGGAAGAGATTAATTTTATGTAAGCGATAAGTAAGGATGGATGTTTTTTTCCCTAAACTGAATTTGCTTCTGCTTTAAACATTGCATTATAATATTATTCTCCCAATCCTGAAAATCTAGTGTACCTGTGTAATGGGAGTCCTTTGATTAATTTTAATTGAGGCCTCATTTCTCGTGTCAAAGTGGTGGTGATTGTTATGGTAGTATCTGAATGTTTGTAGTATTCATTGTTAACTATTGAACATTTTGCACAATTAGTTATCCTTTTATAACTCATCGACATCCTTAACAATGCTTAATTTCAATTCAAGTTTTTTTATTTTTTATCTCCGTCTTAATTTTAATCATAAGTTAATTTGTGCATATTAATTAGTTTATTCAAAAACTTTTTAAACATGTGCATTAGTTGGTTTGAACATGATAAATTAATTTTATTTTTTTTCCTATAAGTATCTATAGATAAATTTATTAAATGGGCCTTAAATCCATTACGTACTATATAACCCTTATATTATGTTGAAATTGGGAGTTGTTACTTACTAGGGATGATGATCGTTAGGCATCAAATTAGAAATTGGAATTAAATCTTAAATTTTAATTAAAACAGTTATAATTTGTTTTTAAATTGAAATATAAAAATTTATGTAAATATATAATTATACATGTCTCAATTTATAATCATTGCATGTTTTCTAGATCACCATGTTCTTAATATTATTTAATAGTCTATAAGAGAAGAATAATTTTCACTTTACAAATTGATTTTATAAGGTTGAGTTAAGCTATAGATAACCTTCTTAGGATGATATTAGAATATATCCTATCAATTCTTATTGTTGGGTTTATCAAGTCACTTACTATTAGACTGATATTAGATTACTCGTAGATGTTTTGTCTTACAAACTTTGTAAAACTGTATGATTGTTTAGTTAATTTTATTAATTAATTAATTATGTGAATCATCGTTTTAATGTTATAACACTCTAAGGATTTAAGAATTTTTATGAGTTTAGTTGTTTATGAATTATTTTGAGTTGAGGTTAAAGTTAACCAAGTTTAGAAGATAGTATATAAGGTTTTTCTTAAGACTTGGACTTCTTAAAAACCTAGAAAGAAGTTAGAGAAAACCTCTAAAGCTACTAGGATTTATTTCCTTTTATTGACCTTGTAGAGCATATATATTCTTCCCTAGAGTTAGATTGAGTAGCTATGTCGTGATTCAAAGCTTCTAGAGCTAAGAATTAAAGTGAGAAGTTTTCATACAATAGGTTCAGAATTCTCGAGTTCTTTATTTTCTTCTTCTTTTTTGGAAGATCCTAGGTAAGGGAAGCTTATAGAGCTGATTCTTGTTGTATTGTGTGAATTATACTACCTAGATTCATCAAATTGTATCTATGTTGTTAATTTGAAGAGTGGAAATCTTGATTTGGTTTTATTGTTGTTTTTAGTAAAATGAGAGAAATTCATGATTTGGAATATTCGATAGTTGCATGTTGGAATTCGTTGGTTATGTGAGTTGTTGTCGATGCATAGATATGGTATTGTGGGTCGTATGTTGGTTTTGAGATGACATTGCAGGTGGTTGAATCCAAATTGCGATTCTGCCAATTGTAGAAATTACTATTGTGCCAAATTCAACTTCATAGAGTCAAGTGCAACACAGTTCACTAACATCAAGCGTGGTATAGGTAGCACAAGGCATAAGTTAAATAAGAACCCTCTAACTTGGTCACTTTGAGTGTGGGTTGAGGGGCATCAAGTGTGATTACCTTATGAGCTATCTGAATTGGTGATGTCGGGCATGAGTTGTGTAGTGTTGAGTAAGATTAAGTCAGTGACTCTCTTCCTTGATGACATTAGACACATGTGGTGTGGCGCCAAGCGTGGGTAAGGTAGTGATTCTCTATCCTAATAACGTTGAACGTAGATTGTGTGGCGCCAGGTATAAGTAAGGATCTCTGCCTCATTGATGTTAGCGTGGGAAAGTGATGTTGAACATTGTTTTTAGGCATGGGGTAGGTTACATCATACATGACTATGTTGAATGTGTAAAATTGTATTTTGTATTTTTTTATGTATGAGGGATATGTTAAGGTGAAACATTGTGTTATGACTTGTAGGAGGCATGTTGTTGTGTTCTTAAGTAGTTATGTTGTTAGTTGTTGTGTTGATCACATGTTATGTTGAAAACTTGTATTACTGATATACTAAGTTGTATGTTGGTATGTGTTGCTAAACTAAGTATTGGGTCAGAGGTGTTGAAAGGATGATATGTTGTGTAATGATGATGTGATGATATAGTTGTATTTTACTTCTATACTATGTGTTGTTTTTGTTGTTTGTAAGTTTATCCTTACATTTTCCTTGCTGTGTTATTGCAATGATAATATTATTATAAGAGTAAAGTAAAATTAGGCCAAAGGGACGAGTTAGACCTTTTGACTACCATGCTGAAGATGGTAATGTTGTGTTGGTTGTTGTTCTAGCACAACTTGCATAATAATTACTTGATTGGGAACTCGAGATTTAAGTTTAAAATTTTTGGATTATTATGTGTATAGGATCGTATTATAATTTCATTGAGAGACCTTTATATTTTCAGTTGATTATTTCTTATATATATATATATATTTTTTGTTGGATGTATATCCAAAAATTATTTGTATAATAATCTTAAATAATTAAATTTATATTTTTTAATACTTAATTATTAAGTTGTAAAATATACAAATTTATGGAATCCTTACAAATTTCAAGTCAAGAATTAAACATCTTAAAATATATAAAAATAGAAAATATTTCTAATCTTTTAAGTCAATTTTATAAAATTGAATTAGATTTTGAATATTTTTTTTTTGTTCTTCTAGCAAATATAGGTAAAGAACCAACAAATCTTCGATTACTATCAAACATCGGCTTAAATCAACCGATCAAATCGGAAATCAAGCATATAACAAGTCTGAGCTTATTAACATTTCGGTCATGTCATCAAATTGATATTACCCGGCTGATTTTTTTGGTTAAACCAGAATTGATATTACCAGACATGTTTTTCGGTTAAATACCAGTTCATAGATTTTTTTATATATAAGAGAAGTTTGCCTCATTCAAAAATTGTAATACTCTCGTGCGAATTAAGGCTTGAACACAAGCACACGAGCATGTGCGGAGACTTGTTGACCCCTCAACATTATTCTTTTCTTGTTACTTAAATGACTTAAAAAAAATATTTTATAGTATCTCTCTAATATAAAATTATATATTTAATAATGAAATTTTGACTAATATATATGTTATTTTTTTATGTATTTTTTGTATAAAATAAAAATAAAAATAATTTTAAATTTAAAGTGAATGTGATTATTTAATGTCATAATAACTATTAAAATAATATATTTTATTATTATACGATTTGTTTAAATAATTTATATAGCATATTCTTTAAAATTATAATAATTTTATATAAATTTATGTGATTCAACTAGTTATAGTTAAGTTACTTTATCAATATTTTTTTTTGTGATAAATGTAAAGAAAGAAAACAAAGAAAAATCAAACTAAAAGTGTACTGATCGTACTTCGCACCCGGGCTCCGAGCCCTCTTCTGGGAAGATGAGAAGAAAGAAGCTCCAGAAGGTGCAAAGGTTGTGCACACACTCTATGGAAAGCACATGACACATAACACAAGAGTGCATAAGAATATGACTGATAATAACAAAAAACACTAAGAAAAATAGAATGGGTGTTGGATAGTGGAGCTTCACACCACATGGCACCTTATCTTTCTCTTTTAAAGACAGTACGAAAGACCGACAAATTAACCTTTCTATGCGACAACTAGAAGTGTTGTTTTAATAGAAAACATGGGATATATTGATCTTAATAAAAAAAATATCAAGTTGAAAAATGTTTTATTTGGACCTCAGTTTAGCTGTAATTTGATTTTTGTGCATAAATTAACATGTGATTCAAATTGCATATTAACATATGATGAAAATTGTTGTGTGTTGTAGGACCAAATCACGAAAATGATGATTGGATTAGATGACGTACATGAAAGGATTTACATATTATTATAATTTTTTATTAGATACTTACAATTTTTTATATCGATACTAAAATATTACAATTATATATATATATATAATTAATTTTATTTATTTTAAAACTATATTAATTTAAAATTAATATAATTAATCTTTTATAATATTTTTACAGTTTTTTATATTAATGTGCTATTATGTTATATGATTACATAAGTAATAAAATTTTATTTAATTTTATAACATTTGTAAACCCCTTACAAAAATCAAAATTTATTACAACTTTTGAGATATTACTTTCTCAAAAAATTTCATCAAT